TCTGTTTTTGGAGGAGAAGAGGCAACTTTATGACTGATTTATAACCTGAGGTGGGGAATAAGGATGGAGGGAAGTGATGGGTCCTGGTGGAACCCACCCCATCCCTGTCCCTGGAGAAAGCTGTCCTGCTGGGTGGAAGACTCTCTTTTTCTCTTCCCCAACGAGTGTCGTGGCGTTGACTTTTCTTTGGATCTTGGGCTTTCTTCATGTTGTAACTTCAAATAACGGGTTTGTAGGTGAGATTCCCCTTCCTGCCACCTTCACACCAGGTGGTGGGAGCCTTCTGGGCTCAACCTTCAAACCCTCCCTCTGCTCTTCGCCTCTTAAACCCTTCTCCTGGATGGATTCATCGCTTGTCCCCGGTGTTGAGGAGCATTCCTCAATTTTATTGCTTATTTTGGGCTGGTGGCACCTTCATCGTCGTTTCCTGGGGTGGTGCGTGATGGTCAGATCATGGGCTAAACCTCATCCTGGTGTTCCTCAGGTGCCACCTCACATTAGTCCTTTAACGAGTGACTTTCTAATTCTGACTTTCCGAATATTTCGTCCCAATAAATTAACTCCAGGCGATGGCATCCTACTTTTCTGGTTGGTTGCTTCTTCTTTCCCCTTCCTGCCACCTTCACACCAGGTGGTGGGAGCCTTCTGGGCTCAACCTTCAAACCCTCCCTCTGCTCTTCACCTCTTACACCCTTCTCCTGGATGGATTTATCGCTTGTCCCCGGCGTTGAGGAGCGTTCCTCAATTTTATTGCTTATTTTGGGCTGGTGGCACCTTCATCGTGGTATCCTGGGCCGGTGCGTGATGGTCAGATCATGGGCTAAACCTCATCCTGGTGTTCCTCAGGTACCACCTCACATTAGTCCTTTAACGAGTGACTTTCTAATTCCAACTTTCCGAATATTTCGTCCCAATAAATTAACTCCAGGCGATGACATCCTACTTTTCTGGTCGGTTGCTTCTTCTTTCCCCTTTCCTGATTAATTCCCTGGGAAAGCTGGAAGCTTTGCCGCCCTGGAGACCTTGGCCAACCCTTCTTTTGTGTATTATATCTCTCAAAATCGTTGTAAAAGCAGCGTAAATGAAGAAAAGATGGAAGGGGGGGATGACACTCGTGGACTAATCACCCGAGGGGGAACGGGGAGGGATTTCTCCGCGATGGATCACCTGCGGATAATGAATTGGGTTCGGGCAACGGAGCCGCATAAAAGGCGCTATTGTTAGCACTTTTCGCCGACTTCCTCAAAAGGCCTTTTCATCCTGGAAATAGAAGCACCCAGAGGATGGGTCCTTCTGAAAGGAACCCAAAAATTCAATTAAATGAGCAGCCCAGTGATGTTTTACCCATACCTTTCCCCCCATCCTGGCCATAAAGGTCTTTCAGAAGCCTCGCGCCATTGGGGGGGAAGGAAGGACGGGGCAGGAGGAGAGATCTGAGGCATCTCCGACCGCTCCTGGTTTGTTGGGAAGAGTTTCATCTCCACGAGGCCTTAAAAGCAGGATGAAAGGTCCGGAGGAAGATGGGGAGAATGGGAGAAAAATTGGTGCTAAAAATCAGAGAATGGAGACGGCCGAGGAGAGAGGGAAATGTTGGAGGAACTTTTTGGCGCGGTGGGTAGATGTCGATGAGAAGGCGAGAAGAAGATGATGGAGACGCCTCGAAATCCTTCAAGGGTGGGTGTCAGGAGGATGGGGCCAGGCTTTTTCCAGTGGTGCCCAGGGACAGGACAAGAGGAAACGGGCACAAACTTGAATATAAGAAGTTCCATCTCAACATGAGGAGGAACTTGTTGACTTTGAGAGTGGCAGAGGCTGCCCAAAGAGGTGGTGGGGTCTCCATCTCTGGAGACATCCCAACCCCACCTGGATGCCATCCTGTGGGACCTTCTCTGGGTGACCCTGCTTGGGCAGGGGGTTGGAGGAGATGATCTCCAGAGGTCCCTTCCCACCCCGTGTCATTCTGTGGTTTGTAGACGAAGAGTGGGTCAACTCTATCTTTGATGGGACCCAAGAGGCTTCCAAGAAGAGTTTTCCCAATGTTGTACCTTCTTTTCCCCCCCTCAGAGACCCCAAAACACATCGTTTCTTCAAATTCCTCAGAATTTTTGAACGTTTCTCATCCGTAATTCCTTTGGGCTTTCTCTTTGATAAAAATCCCCATTTCTTACCCCGCGTTTCTCTTCTCCGCTCTCCCGTGACCCGCCGCCGGATCTGCACGTTTTCAGTGGATGGGCCCAAACCACCACCTCATTAGTTGATAAATCTATGGTAACTACCATGTAATTAAAGCCTAATTAGTTATTTTCCCCCCTTTTGTAAAGGAAATTGTTCCGTTTTATCTAATAAAGGCAAAGTCGGGTAGTACCAGTGCTCGGAGTGGCATCGGAACTCGCCTTAATTAGGGGATTCTCTGCAGCCCATGGGTTGACGAAATCCACGCTCGTTAGTAGGTATTAGTGATTACACGCTTATTTGTGCGCCGTGTAATAGCTTTATTTTGAGGAGATGATTCGATAACGCTTTCGGCGCGTAAAAAAAAGCAGTGAAACCTGAAAAAAAAAAAAAAAAAAGATATAATTTGGAAATCGGTCACTTGTGTTGGCTCCGCAAATAAATTAAGTGTAGGGGGAATACTAATTATGAGAGTTTCTCCAAAATTAACGCTAACGCTCTCGTTAACCTTTGATTAGCACCATTTTGTGATTTATTTATTTTTATTTTTTTTTGCAACCCAAAATGGAAGTTGCCCGTTTTATTGGTTATTTCAGCCACTGGGTCTCACCGACCGATGGTTGTGCTGGGTTTTGGGACAATCCATCCCTTCGTCGGCTTCGGAAAATACTCGTTAATGGAGAAGGGTTTTGGCCAGACTGGTCCCAGTAAAGGATGCGACGTTGGGAGAGGGGTCAGCCCAAGGCTGACCATCCCTTTGGATGGAATCTTTAAACAGTAGAAGGTATTGGAGATAGAAATAATAAATGGTAAAATGCGTTGGAGATGCCTTGTCAAAAGGACACAGTCGTTCAAAAAAGTCCATTTTAAGCTTTTTTTAACCAATTTTTGGACACGTAGTGATGGACGTTGGGTAGGGGGAGCGGTCGTAGCCCAGCTTTGCTCCACTTGCATGTTGGGTTCTCTGTCTCTTGGGTTCTCCATCTCTCGGGTTCTCCATCTCTTGAGTTCTCCATCTCTTGGGTTCTCCGTTCTGGCTTCCAAAGAATGGGGAATCTTGGGTTTATTGCTGCTTTCAGCCTAAAGAAAGCAAATTTGATAATTCTGATCGTTCCTGTTGGGCTAACGGAGGTGGCCAAAGATGAACGTGAATTGTTTCTCTCCTCGTTGCTTTTGGAGGAGCTGCTTGGTGTGGTGGGCACCCAAAATAGACGTTAAATACTTAAGGAGGCCTCAGACTTGTCACCGACGTCTCCTTATTGCTCCTTTCTCCTGCATTTTGTCTTAGTCATTGGCTTCCACCTCTGAAATTGGGGTAAAACAGCTCAGCCTGAGGTTTGGTAGAGATGCTCTTGGCTGGAGACCAGTCTCAGGTGCCGCCGTCACCACCAAAAATCATAGTCATGGAATGGTTTGGGTGGGAAGGGATCTTGAAGACCATCCAGTCATTCTCCTGCCCTGGGCAGGGACACCTCCCACCAGCCCAGGTTGCTCCAAGCCCCCTCCAACCTGCCCTTGAACCCCTCCAGGGATGGGGCAGTCACAGCTTCTCTGGGCAACCTGGGCCAGGCTCTCACCACCCTCACACCAAAGAAGTTCTTCCCAAAATTTAACCTCAATCTCTCCTTTTTCACCTTAAAACCCTTCTCCCTCGTCCCATCGCTCCCCTCCCTCATCAAGAGTCCCCCCCAGCTTTCCTGGAGCCCCTTGAGGGACTGGAAGGGGCTCCAAGGTCTCCCCGCAGCCTTCTCTTCTCCAGGCTGAACCCCCCCAACTCTCTCAGCCCCCCCTCCCAGCAGAGGGGCTCCAGCCCTCCCACCATCTCCGGGGCCTCCTCTGGCCCCATCCAACAGCTCCGTGTCCCTCCTGTGCTGAGCCCCCGGCCCCCCCAGACCCTTCTCCTTGGGGCTGCTCCCCATCCCTCCATCTCCAGCCTGGGCTGGCACCGGGGGCTGCCCCCACCCCAGGGACAGGCCTGGTTGGACCCCATGAGGGTGACACGGGGCCACCTCTTCCAGCCTGTCCAGGTCCCTCTGGATGTCACCCCGTTCCTCGGTGGTGTCACTGCCCCACTCAACTCAGTGTCACCTGCAGCCTCACTGAAGGTGCCCAATCAATGAGGTCCCAAAACAGACCCCTGAGGGGCACCACTTGTCACCACTTTCCATCTGGACGTTGAGCCGTTGACCAACACCTTCTGGATGTGACCACCCAACCGATTCCTCATCCAAAGAGCAGTCCATCCATCAAATCCATATCCCTCCAATTTAGAGGGAAGGATGTCACGGAGGAGCCTGTCAAAGGCCTCAGAGAAGTCCAGATGGACAACATCCCTCATCCCCTGATGTAGTCACTCCATCGTAGGCCTTGTGGTTGGTAGTCCTCTTCCCTCATCCCTTGATGTAGTCACTCCATCGTAGGCCTCATGGTTGGTGGTGATGAGAAGATGAAGATGAGATGCCAAACCCATAGGTGGCATCTTCCAAACCACCCAGGTGGTTGAAACCATGGCCAGTTGGAGCTCCAGCCCAAGGCTCTGCCATCCCCAGGCTGGGGAGACGCTCTCCTCCAGTGAACCACCGGTGCTGTGGTCAGCTTCACCTCCATCCCTCATCATCTTCAGTGGGAAGGAGAGGAGACCTTCACTGGAGAGGATGCTTGGAGCAACCTGGTCTGGTGGGAGATGTTCCTACCTTGGACTGGGAGGGGGAACCTGGATGGTCTTTATGGTCCCTTCCTACCAAAACCACTCCATGATCCTACAACACCTTGGGGTGTGTTGGGG